TATCTCTTATATTTTCTTTTTTATGATCTTTATTGCATATAGGGCAGGATACTGAACTATTAAAATCAAAATAATCGCGATTTTGATTGCTATACTTCGAAGATAAATAAGGAAATCGTTCTAATACCATTTTAATAACGTGTTGTTGCCTTTCTTCCGGGTCTTTAGGTAGAACAGAAATTGGGAATTGTCGTTTATATGATGTAGATTGAATATTTACCCGCGGTACAAATAAAGTCTTTTCCTCAAAAGATATCTGTGTGAATTGAGCATGGATTTTTTCCCAATCTTCCATAAGATCATCGAGCCATGCAGTACTCAAACCACTTTTTAGTATACCTTGACGTAATAACTCTTCACCAACCAGCCTATCACGATCTGTAAGGATCTTTTTTTCTTTCTATTGCGCCACGATAGAAACGTATATCTCTTTCCAAATCCCCACGAAAACACCCCATGGTCCACCTATTTTTCTCAGCCTCGGAGATCATGTGAAAGTCACGAGACTGCAAATAAGTGTGGCACCTTTATTTTATTATTATGTATGATTCCGAAGCTAATTAAGCAAAGATCTGATCTGAGGCGAGTCCGGAATCTCGCGCATATATCGGTTTTGCAATGGAGTCATTGACAATTCCTCCGGAAATTTTCGACAAGTCCGGAGACGCGTTTCTGTAATACAACAGAAGAAATATTTTTAATCATGAACCCCAAAGTTAAAAAGATACATTATACATAGAAATACCTCTAAATCCACGAAATGCATGAACGATGATTCGATCAGTGGCATACTGGGTTGGTCTATGACAAGTCTTGATGTCATATGTGGCAATGATCCGTACATAGCATCATGCTTGAGATCCATAATGTAGGTTTGAACGACATTGCCTATAATTTATATAGGAACCTTTAGTAAACAAAGATTATCCTATCCAACCAAAAAAAAAACTTGAAGGGACATACCAAAGTTTGTAAGCCAAGCGCTTTCTCCCGGTCCGCCTCTCGACGTGAGTTGCTGATTAATGGACTTTCTCGCGCGCAAGTTAACCTTTATCGTATCTTTTATCTTCATCAGAGGTCCACAGCCAAGTGGCTTAATTTCCGAGCTAAGAAACGAAACGTTCTCTACGTGGCACGAAAAATCGGGCCTCGTATTTGTGCCTCTGACGGTCTGGTTGAACTTCACTTCGTAGTCTTTTACGCCAAGGAAGAGCGGACGCGTTATATTATGAAGGTATCTAAACACCGTGTTCGTCTTCAGAGGTTTTGGATGGGGCAAGCGGGGGCACATAGTGATAATAAATCGGAGAATGAATCATTTCTCTTCGATCTTGATTAGCATACCAGAAAAAACTTACACCTCGTTTAAACGATCTACAAGCCTCTCGGCTTAGCTCAGTATCATCCGGGATCATGTAAAAATCTTCACCCTGTAAATGTCTTATGATAGCGTTATGGAACGCTGTAGACAAATTCTCGGAAACCAGTTCCATTAATTCCTGGCTCGTTACTTTTCGTCCGTTTTTGCTTGCGCTTCAGAGCAATTTCGCATGGAGACATTTTGCCTTCACCAAAGCATTCTACATCGGACTCCATAAAATTACTACACAGAAACATAAATATAATACTGAATTTTCTTAATAACTTACATCACATCGCTTCTTGGAGTCTGTTACAAATGGTTCTTGCTCGTTGGATAAGTAGTTTCTTGCAGTTTTGGAATCTTTGACCGAATCACCTATGGTTTCATTGATGTATTCTAACTATTTACAAATCAATCAGTTACTCTATGTACAATGCAGTATATATACAATTGTAAAGCACAATTTACAGACCGATCTTAAGTTACGTGACCTAGATTTCGTAATATTATAAAAAAGGCAAACGAACTGTATATTCACACGTGCCTGGTAAGATTGGGAAAAAAAAAATTTTTTTTCTATTGTTTATGTCAAAGGGGTATATTATGGCGCAGTGCTCCAATTACGTTAGAGTTGTTGTCGATCGATCTTAATCGGATTTTTTATTACTTGTCGGAGATATTTAAATAAAATGCTAGAACACGGTCCGGGACTGGTCCGGGACTTACAGTCGCTTTTCAAGGATTACGTTTTTACGAGACATTGTAATTGATACTACGCCATAATTTATTGTAATATACACAGCAGAGTTTTAGTTGCTATTCTCGGCGCAGAGGGGGTGTTCTTTATGCACTACTCGTGCGGCACCCTTACGGCACTTGCGTCACCTGTGCAGGTGCGCTTACAATGATTTCAAGTGAAATTTCCGAATTACGGAAATCCTTTACATTATATACGATATCACGTGTTTAATATAAGACCAACCAGATATTTTTCTATCGTTTTATAAAATTTCTCAAAAACTAGAAAAATAATTTAAATAATATTTATCAAATCTAGCTATTTACAGCATATTAAAATTTTATCTAAATAAAATTGCTAGTTTTTGAGAAAATATACATAAACTAAAAAATATATATACTCAAAGGATCGTCATGAATTCACGAAAATTTACGCGAAATTATTTTTATTTATAAATTTTATTTATTTGTTTTATTTTTTTATTTCTTTATTTGATTTTTTAATTACAAACATTATTTGCTTTATTTTTTTCCGATTTTCGATTTTCGATTTCCGGCTTTCGAATTTCCACATACCGGAAATAAAATCCGAAAATCTATTTAAACAATATAAATAACTATAGTACGGAAATTTCACTCGAAATCATTGTAAGCGCACCTGCACAGGTGACGCACAAGTGCCGTAAGGGTAGTGCATAAAGAACACCCCCTCTGCGGCCGAAAATAGCAACTAAAACTCTGCTTGTTATCTCTTACTTATTCTTTTGAAATAAATAAAAATTTATGTATAAAATAAGGTAGAAATTAAGTAATAAAATACACGCCTCGCCTGTAAAAAAATAACCAAATCTCCTTCCACTGTTACGCGAATCTGTGCTAACTCTAGCGACAGACTCGCTGATCACCGCTTACATGTAACATTATTTATTGCACCTTTTCAATCTAAAATTTTTTTTCATGATCAAATACACTAAGGTCGTGTATAAAGTGTTTTGTAAATTTCTCCATTACAACACAAGATCCAATTGCCGTTCTTATAATGAAATAGTATCTCATTTGTTGTTTCGTCTAATTGCTTCAGAAAGGTTATTAAAGTCGGGATCGAAAATTCTGCATCTTTGTTCGTGTAATGCCTCAATATTAGATTTACAATATCATATCATTGTAACTTATGGAAAACCTTCAAATACTGTAAATAAATACTAAATTAAAATGGTTATAATTAAAATTATCAATTTGTATTTAAGGCGACAATTGATTTCACAGCTAAAGAAAAAACCATTAACAATCGGGTTTCATAATGATCAAAATTTTGTTTTTATTTTGGGAGGGCTTTCATAGTCCGATTATGGGATTAGATAAACCGTATATCCGACTTTGGCTTAGTTGAAGATTTGGTAAAATTCGACGTTGCGAAAAATTTGTTTCTCTCTTTTAAAAAGGTTTGATAATTTCTTCTTCATAAATATATAACTACTGAGATATCATTAACCTTTAAAATCTAAAGTACTCGAGTGAGTATTGGTTAAATTTTTTCGAAATCGCCTTGATATATTAATTAATTAATTAATCCTTAATCGTTAAAATATGATCGGATTTTATAAATCCCATAGTTAATGGTGGTGTGTGCAATGTTCGGAAAGTAATATTAAAAGTGATGGCAATAAAATACCCGTTATTTTAAAATTTTATAATAATTCAGATGAAATAGAAAGGTATATAATTTTTCATACGCGTTTTGTTCTTTTGAAGAATTATTGTAATTTAGCCAATATATAGAAGCTCGTTGTAAAACCTATTATTTCGCAATAAAAATTTACGAAAACATAAAACTCTCAGGCTAAGGTTAGATTAATAAATATTAAAACAATGAAATATTACATTAAAAAATAAATTAATGCAGCGCATATTCATCTACAGTATTTTTTTATACAAAAATTCTAGTCTAGTAAGTGGTTACATTTAAGAATAAACTGTCACTGTATGTTATAACGTTATTTAACAAATAAAATTAACCATTAGTACCTGATATGTATAATGCAAAATTACTTGAAAAGCATGTGGTTTAACTATTTGTTTACATGATCACATTTTACACGAGATCTGGTAAGGAAATATTTGTCTATTGCATTAAATTATTAATAGTACAGTAATCTAGATAATTTTAATTTTTGATTTTTTTAAAATTAATTGCCATCGTATTATCGATATCTGATGAACTACTGTAGAAGCAAAGATTACCGACTTTGGAATGTCAATCAATTTAAATGAAATTTCAGAGATCTCAAAGTTAAAGGTGCATCAGCATTCATAGATTATATAAGAAAAGTTATATTGGCTTTGCCGATATATCAAATACTTACAGCTTTGGAGTAATAATGAGAAATCTTAAGCGAAACATCACCATTTAAAGGTTTAAGCCATAGTAATACCATAAAGAATGTATTTTTTGGTAAAAAAATTCGTGTTATATACTTCATGTAAATATATAGGAACGTATTAACAGTATTGAATTGAGAATTAAAATCAACTTTCAAGTCAAAATGCATTCATAAATAATTTGAGTCATATGATAGGAGACCTTTAGTGAGTTTATAAAATAAAAACAAGTAACACTGTATTTGTATAATTTTTATTCTAAAAGTTTTTAAATACTTAAAATAAATTATTTAATAAACACGATAAGTCATTCGGTTTTATGAATTAGGTGTACACTTATTTTTTATAAATGGTTTATTATATTAAATTTTTGTTTGTATATTTATTTCTTATACAGTATGTATTGTATATGTCTTATTTATTATGTTAAAACTTTCAAGATTTACTTTTTTTAAAAAAAATCCATATTTAAATTAGATTCAAAGTTTAAATTCTATAAATCAAATGTACTGTATATTAAAAACTTACATTATATACAGTATTAACATCCCCGCTGCAAACCACATTTCACAACAATGCCCTTGTTCATGATAACCCATCATCCAATACCATAAGGAATTATTTAAAAGGAATCGAATACATTCAGATTACTTTTGAGGAAAATGTATTGTCATTAATTTCTTCGAAACAGAAGAGCCCGCCTGATTTGACAATAAATTTCGGCAAGGTCTAAAATTTGATCAAATTATTTGCCTCAAAGTGCTAAAAATCTTAATTTTATCATACGGAAATTGCAATAATGTAATCAATATGTATGCCACGCAAAACTTCATTTTACAATTATAGTCTAGAATGTTTAGAATTTTAATTTATTACCGATTGTTTAAATATAAAAAAAAAAGAATTCGAGATTGCATATTTTCTATCTAATTTATTTCGGAAAGTCAACAAAGTTTATGCCCGAAAGATATGTAATAACTTAGTTTTCGCAAAGATCTTCAATACTGACTAAAATGTCACGTGAGGTTTCCGTATATATGGTCAGGCCCAATGTACACCACTTGTTCAACAATCGATTGAAATTGCAAATATGCCACAAGTGTAACCATAACAAATGAATGAAGTCCAAAGTGTGGTGTAACAAAATTTTACTTATTACACAGGCTTTCCAAAATTTAATATAAAGGCCTATTTTTGAACGAAAAAACAAAATCAAATCAAATCATCTCATAAGAATTACAAGTTGTAAAATATTTCGATTACAGTTCTTCGAATGTCAGGTCGTTTGTTTTTAAAATTCGATAGTCCTCTGGTAAATATAAAATACTATAAATTTATTTGAGCTGTTTTAATATATTAATTAACGTATAATTAGGTCATTATTTCAAATCACGTGACCAATGGCAATACATGCAAAGTTCAGAAAGCCATACTAAAAAATGAAGGCAATAAAACACCAGTAATTTTAAAAATTGCTAATGATTCAGATGCGATAGAAGTTGCTAGAGAGGTACAGTATATAATGTTTTGTGCGTGTTTTATTCTTTTAAAATAATGAGCAATTAATGTATGGAAACTCGTAGCTTAAAACTTTCTCCTCGATAAAAACTCACGAGAACATTATCAAAATTTACGGAATAAGGTATTGTTAACAAACACTAAAGCAATAAGTTATTTAATTAAAAATTAATGCGGATATATTAATATATAATTCTCATACGCATGTTGACGTATTTAGTCGTTGTAAGTTTTTACATTAAAAATAAGCTGTCGTTAATATATTATCGCGCTATTTAACAAGCAATTAACCTTTATTATATTATTTAGTACCTGATGGATCCCAAGTATTTATTTTAGAATGTGCAGAGTTAGGTGATTTACGTGAATACCTCTCAAACAATCTCCAAATTACCTGGTGTAAAAGGATCAATATTGCCAAACAGGTCGCATGTGGTTTAAACTATTTACACAATAATCACGTTTTACACAGAGACCTAGTAAGGAA